CTTGTTTTGTTACTCAACACAGGTTCATTGATTTGATATGTGTACCAATCGATTTTTTAGACAGTGTGAGCATGGATAATAGGGTGATGATGTGATATGGGCCACCCCCCATTTAATACACACATCTTGAAATGGTATGCTTGTGCATTGTGGTCCATTGTCAGACATTATCTGTTCCAGGGCAAAATTGAAAATAGTAGTCTTTGGGTCAATGACGGTCATGCTCATTGTGTTGTTAAGTGGTTGAACAATTGGAAATTTAGAGAGGGAATCTGTAACAAGGACCTAACTGTCCTGTGCACTGTGAGTAGGTTTGTTGTTACTTCAGTCCAAGAAGTGGATGAAACATCGTGTGGATGTAGAGGCTCCCTCTGTTGCTGGGTGGATACATTGCATGCCTCACATGCATTCACGAATGATTGAATATCTTGATATTCCATCCCTGCCCAGTACAGAGATTCACATGCTAGCCATCTTGTGTGTTCAACACCCAAAGTGTCCCCGGTGTAACATGGACATTATATCTTGGCATTGTGGTCTGGGTATGAGGACTTGTTTACTCTTGAAAAGAAGCTGTGATGTACTAAGTTCATTCCTGCATAGCCAAAGTTAATAAACCACCTTAGAAATTTCCTTAGTGCCATCAGGCCATCCTTGAATAATGATCTTTTGCAACTCTTTTTCAATTTCATAGTCTAAATCATCAACACTTGGATCAAGGGGAATATCTGGGTCTTTGTGTGGATTGGGTAATCTGCTCAGCAAGTGAAAAGTAGTCATTCTGGTACCTGGCTTATAACTCACTTCAAAGTCATGCTCTTAGAGGTTGTTGACTGATTTGATTGTGTTACATGTAGTCTGTTCCAGCTCAGTGGGTGCAGTTTGAATCTCATGAATTGTGACTATACCAAGAACTGTACATGCTGGCAATCTTATCACTGTTGTCCATCAGTATGTTCAGGGAGAGGATATCAAGAAGCTAAATGAGCTTGTGTACCTGCACTGCAGTGTGATTTGCCAATGCATAGAATTGGTAATTTGTTATATGCCATGAGACGATCTCTTGCAGTCTACACCATAGAATGCCAATTGCTGTGGTATATGTTTTTCAGGATGGCACTATACCACTAGATTTTGTGTTGATTATATCTCTTAGGAGTGTGGTCCTGCCTTTCAGGACATATGATATGAATTCAATTGAATTTAATGAAATGATGTTAACGGTTGTAAAAGCTTCTGATCACATTATACTGTATTAAGTGAAGTTGACAATATGGAAAGTTTGGTCATCTTCTGACATTTGCCTTTTGCTTGATTGACTCTGAACTTTGTTGACGTGTTTACATTTGCTGTCAGTGTTGTGGAGTTGTACCTGTGTCTTGTCCTTGGGCCTGGCTCAGCCTTTAAAACCAGATTTCCTGCACATGCATGCTCAATGTCCTTTAATGGCACATTAATTACAGACATCAGTAAAAAAACTGGCCAGTGCAACAAACTGACTGTGACAATGGTGTTGGCTACACCTAAAGAATGTTATTGTTATCAGACTAACACTATGGCTTTAACCTAAAGTGATGTGTCAATGGTATGGCCCTTTGTTTTGCTTGAACCATCCTTCCACAAGTCAGCCTCGAGTGAACCAGCGCGGATCTCGAGTGTTTGTAAAAGTGGGGACATGGAGGCAGCAGGGGCATGGACTGGGGCAGCAGCTGGGGCCCAGCGTGAGCCTGGATGGTGGCAGTGGCGAGCAGTGGCTGGCGGTGAAGGATAGTAGCAGCAGTGGTCAGCAATGAGGCGGTATCTGCAAAGGATGGCAGTAGCCGTGGTCGGCCTTGAGGGGCTGCGAGGGATAGTGGCAGCGGTGATATGGTGGTTGGGGACGAAGCCTGGCATGCCCGAGTGGGTCTTAGCCCCAGTGCAGGGGAGAGCAATCCCACTTTGAGAAGCCCAGTTTGGAGCATCTGCAAGCCCATGGTTCAAGAAAGGACTGCAATGTTTCTCATTTTAACTTTACTTCTTGCTTTATTCTTTCTAATTTATTTCTTTATTTCCGTAACTAAGATTTTGTATCTAGGTACTTTGTACCTAAGATAGCATCGTGTGTAGCGGCATTGTACACTTTTCACTGTACTCTTTACGCAATACTTGAGTACACATGACAATAAACTCTAAATCTAAATCTAAATCTCACATTTCAAGTGATCCCAAGTAAGATAGTGTTCATAAGACCTGAATACCCTCAGGTCACACGCTATAATCTGGTGCTGATAACATGAGCATGTGTTTCAATGGAATACTGACCATTTAACATGTACAACAGCTTCTAGCCCATGAGATAACAAGGTGTAGAGCTGGATGAACACAGCAGGCCAAGCAGCATCAGAGGAGCAGGAAGGCTGATGTTTCGGGCCTAGACCCTTCTTCAGAAAAAACATGTTCTTCAGTGGTAGATACCTCTGCTTTTCTGTCCTCATTACTCT